GAGAACAAAATGAAAGGTGTACAACCAGGAAAGGAAGAAGTTACATTATCCTTGTTTGCACATGATAAGATCTACCAAAAGACTTTTAGAGCTGATACATGAATTCAGCAAAGTAGCGGGATATAAAGTCAACATTAATAACTCAATAACTTTGCTATACACTAATAATGGACTAGCTGAGAAATAAATCAGGAAAACAATTCCATTCACAACAGCTTTTTAAAAAATACCTAGGGGGCCAGGGATTTAGCTCAGTGGTTCTGGCGGCTGCCTCGAAAGCCCAAGGTCCTGAGTTCGATCCCCTATACCAAAAAATAGACCTATGGATCAATCTAACCAAGAAGGTGAAAGACCTCAACAATGAAAATTTCAGAACACTAAAGAAAGAAATTGAAGAAAGTGAAAAGATGGAAAGACCTCCTATGTTTATGGACTAATAGTGTTGAAACAATGTACAGATTCAATGCGATTCCCATCAAAATTTCAAATGCATTGTCTACAGAACTAAAAACTAATCTTAAAATTCATATGAGAACACAAAATAACCTGAATAGCCAAAGCAATCTAAGCAAAGAGGGAAAAAAGCAAGGCTAGAGATGTCACCATACCGAATTTCATATTGTACTACAAAGCAAAAGTAACAAAAACATGGTACTACACAAAAACAGATTTATAGATCAATGGAACAGACAGAAGATACAGAAACAAACCCCCTATTTTTGGACAAAGGAGCCAAAAATATACATCAGAGAAAAGATAGCCTCTTGAATAAATAGTATGGCAAAAACTGGATATCCACTCATAGAACATCGGAACTAGATATCTCTCTCTCTCTCTCTCTCTCTCCCTGTACAAAAATCAATTCAAAATGGATCAGAGACATAGTATATGACCTGAAACTTTGAAAATGCTAAAAGAAAACACAGGGGAAACACTCGAAGTCATAGATACAGGCAAAGACTTCCTGCATGAGACTACAATAACACAAGAAATAATAGCACAAATCAACAAATGGGACTATGTCAAATTGAGAAGTTTCTGCACAACAAAGGAAATAACACAGAAGGTACAAGCTACAGAATGGGATAATATCTTTTCTTTCTTTCTTTCTTTCTTTTTTTTTAGTACCAGGGATCGAACTCGGGTCCTTGTGCTTTCAAGGCAAGTGGTGGAAGCACTGAACTAAATCCCTGGCCCAAATTATTGACATTTTGTCCTGAGTTTGGCATTCATATATTTTTTTGGGTACCGGAGATCAAACTTGGGTCCTTGCACTTGTGCAACAGGCAAGCAGAAGATTAGTATCTAGAATATATAAAAAACTAAAAAAGGGGCCGGGGATTTAGCTCAGTGGCTTCGCCGCACAAGGACCCGAGTTCGATCCCAGGTACCTAAAAAAAAAAAAAAAAAAAAAGCTAAAAAAAAAATCAAACGAATTAAATAAATACTTCTCTTTCTCTTCTCCCTCTTTCCGTCCCTCTCTAGGGTCTCACTAAGTTATTCAAGCTGGCCTTGAACTCACATGTAGCTCAGTCTGGCCTTGGACTCATAGAGATCCTTCTGCCTCAGCCTTCTGAGTGCTGGGATTACAAGCCAGTGCCACCACGCCCAGCCTGAACATATACTTCTCAAAGGAAAAAGTGAAAATGGCTAATAAATGTATGAAAAACATTCAAATCTTTAGCCATTAGAGAAGTTCTAATCAAAAGTACACTGAGGTTCCAACTCACCCTAGTTATTTTTTTTCAGTGCTGAGACAAAATACCTGACACTCAAAGTTAAAGGAGGAAAATTTATTTCAGCTCACAGCTTATAGCAGTTTCAGTCCATAATTGGCTGGGTCCAAGGCAGGGTGGCATGTGGCAGGGGGACATTGCAGAGGAAAACCGTTCATGGCAGGCAGAAGACAAGAAACCAGCAAGCAAAGGGACAAGCAGAAACCTTCCTTCTGTCCCTTCTGTCTTATCCAGCCCACCCACCCTTAGGGCAGGCGGCACTCACTCCCAGAGTGGGGCAGCCTTAGTCCTAGCCCTGCACTGTGTGAATCAACCCCAGCATCACATCCCTGAACCCAGTAGGACACACCCTAGGTCCAGCCACGTCTGAAAAGCCCCACCTGTGCCCGCGTGAGCCTCTGAGGCGACATCCAGATACAAGCCATCACCCTCGTCAGAATGGCTACCATCAAGAATACAACACAATCAATATGAAAGTTCCTCAAAAAACTAAAAATAGTGCTCCCATTTGATCCAGCTATATCACTCCTTGGCATATACCCAAAGCAATTAAAGTCAGCATACCATAGGGTACCCGCATACCTAAGTTTATTGTGGCACAATGAACAATAGCCAAGATACAGCCTAGGTACCCACCAACAGATGAATGGATGAAGAAAATGTGATAGGTAGATATACATATTTTTTTAACCATAAAGAACAAATTTTGTCACTTGCAGGAAAAGGAATGGATAGATCTGACGATCAGGTTGAGCAAAATAACCCAGACTCAGAAAGACAAATATCACCCTGGGAGGGTGTGGGCCCCCCACAGATAGATGCATCAGCGAGCCTGGTATGTGTCTCTTCAGTACCTCTTGCACTGGCTTGGATAGAGTAAGTATTCAATAAATGCTTTTCATGAGCTGAGAAACAACCCTCTTCTCAGTAGGCCCCAAATTAAAGCAGCGCCACAGAAATTATAGTTCTAGGGAAGCAAAGAGAAGCAAAAGGATAACCCTCAGGAGCGGAACTGTCCAGGCAAGTTCTCTATGTGCTCAAGGCCCAAGCCGGGTAGGCCTTTCAGGTAGATATCAGATGAGAGCATGCTTTCTACTGAAAGAGCTTCATGGAAACCCATACCTGCTGACAGGGCTGGGAAGGAGCTCAGTGGTAGAGCACTTGCCTGTCATTGCCCAGGCTCTGGGTTCCACCCCTTGTACTGGGAAAAATAAAAAATAAAAAAGGGCTGGGGATTTAGCTCAGTGGTTCCACCTCCACCACCTGCCTTGCAGGCCCAAGGGCCCAAGTTCAATCCCTGGTACCTAAATAAATAAATAAATAAATAATTTTTTAAAAAGTAAGGCGCCTGTGAAGATTACTGTCTGGGGCTTGCAACAGACAGGGAGCATAGGAGAAAGAAACTGATCTGCCAATATCTGACTGGCTGTTCAAAAGCGGGCAAGTGATTTATTTAAGCCTCAGTTTCCCCATCTGTAAAATGGGAATGACACTACTTCACTGGGCCTTTGTGAACATTTAAGAAGACTGTTTAAAATGAGCTGGCACAGAGTATCGTCATCCTCTGGTATCCATGGGGAGGGAACAGGGTCCAGAACTTTCCTGCAGATACCAAAATCCGCGGGTGCTCAAGTCCCTTCTATAAAATGGTGTGATCTTTGCATATAACCTGTGAGAATCCTCCCGTAGACTTTGAATCACTTCTAGGTCACTTGTAACCGCTACTATAAGGCAATCCTATGTGAATAGTTGTTACACAGTGCTGTCGATAGAATAATGTCAATGAAAAAGTCTGTACATGTTTGGTGCAAACACAAATTTTTTCTGCATATTTTGACCCACTATTGGATGAATCCATGTCTGAGGAACCAGGAATACAGAAGGCTGACTACAGTTGCTGGTTAAGCGCAGACAATGGCAAAGATCGCCAGCTTTCAGAGGTGCAGGGCAATAAGAAATGTGACTTTTCCCAGGCTACTTGAGGGCTCACACTCATTTCTAACACCTGGATCCCCCACTCATATCTGAAACCCTGGAGCCTATGTTCCTCTTCCTGGACCCCAAGGACCACTCTGAGCTCCTCGGATTGACCCTGAGCTCCAGACAGGTGCCCTAAACTGCCGGCTGCCACAGGCACCTGTTACCTAGCTGCTCTGTGGCCCTCTCCATGCCCGGCACTCTTGGTGGCATTCTGCCTGGGGCTAGCAAAGCCAGACATAGGCAACAGAAGGGGACAGTGCGGGCTGTGAGAGGTGGCAGTGACATGCCAAACAAACCTTGTGGTTTGAAAATGCTCCTCCTTTTCCTGAGCAGGCTAAACTTATTTCTGCTCTGGCTGGGGAGAGGGAGACGGAAAAGGAGGCAAACTCAGAGGTCCAGTGGCCAAGGGGGCTCTTCAGATTTATGTATTTAGGGACCTCCAGCTCCCTCCCCGGATAACAAGTCAGCAGCCTTAGTTCCTACAAGTGAGAAGGAGATGGAGAGTTTCCACTAGGGCCTTAGAGATGGGGAGAAACTCAATCCTCTCACAGCCTGGACAGGAGGGAGGGAGGGAGGGAAGGAGGGAGAGAGGACATGTCTGGGCTGGACTTCACAAAACCCTTCTCAGAGGTGACAAACAGGGACATTTGAAACCACTGCTGCTAGACTGAGGGGAAGTTGCCGGTCGCTTGGTGCCTGGGCCTCTCACCTCTGGTCCCAAGAAGCAACTTGAGCTTGTACTTTCCACTTTTGGGAGCTGAGACAAATGTGTCTCCCCAGGACTGACCAGGGGACATCTGCACAAAGAGGCCACCGAACCCTGCAGCACCAAGAGTGTTTGGGTCCCCTTGGGGCCCATGCAGGCTCTGGGTGTGTCCTTGGGGTCAAACCCCACTGCACCTCAAGCTCCCAGCCTAGGAAGGAAGCAACTGTAGCCCTTGCCCCAGGGGCCTGGCCATCTGCAGCCCACATCAACTTTAAAGGAGCCCGGGCTCAGAAGAACACAATCTACCCGTCCCCATGTTCCTGCGATGTGGGAGTGAGATTTGCTTCCACGTGCCCAGGGCCAAGGCAGCCAGAGAGGATCCTCCTGAGGGGAAAAGCCTAACTCGGGTCACAGCCCAAGGTCCTAACTTCGAGCATGCCTGTCAGGATCGACCAGCAGTCACCAAGACCCCGGATCAGCAGCCGGGTGCACAGGTGAGAATTTAACCTACACCGAGTGTTAAGGGCCAGGGCCAGGGGTGCCTGCAGCACCCTCAACCCTCCGCTCAGTGAGCTCACCGTCTCCCGATGGCAGGTCTGCCCCATGGTGGTAGGGTCCTCTCCTGCTCCCTTCCGCTCTCAGCAGCAGGGTCTCTGACACCTGGACAGAGGTCAGGTTCAAAAGAAGCGGTCAGACCAGATGCAGTGACACACCTATAATTCCATCTATTTGGGAGGCTAAGGCAGGAAGATGGAAAGCTCAAGGCCTGTCTGGGCAACACGCCAAGATCTTGTCTCAAAATAAAAAGGCCTGAAGATGTAGCTCAGCACAGCAGAGCACTTGCCTAGCATGCCTGAGTCTCTGGTTTTGATTCCCAGTGCCACCAAACATAAAAATACAAATAAAGAGTCAGGCCAGGGTCTCAGCAGCTTCATTCTTGTCCTCACCCAGATACCAATGGACCTAAGTGTCCATCAACAGGTAAATGGATAAAGAAAATGTGGTGTGCGGTGGAATATTATTCAACCATAAAAAGGAAATACTGCCATTTGCAATAGCAGGAGCCAAGCTTGGAGGACATTGTACCAAGTGAAATAAGCTGAGCGGGCCGGGGATTTAGCTCAGTGGTTCTGCTGCCTGCCTCGAAAGTGCAAGGTCCTGAGTTTGATCCCCGGTACCAAAAAAAAAAGAAATAAGCTGAGCACAGAAAGACAAATGCCACATGATCTCACATATGTATGGAATTTTTAAAAGTCGAACTCATAGAAGTGGAGAGTAAAAATAGTGCTTTCCAGGAGCTGGGGGCTGGGGGACATGTGGAGACGGTCGGGGACAAACAGTTATGACAAACAGGTTCTGGGGATATAACAGAGAGCACAGCAACTCACTAACAATACTATGTTGTCAATTTGAAATTTGCTAAGAGGGTAGATATACATGTTCTCACAACACACACACACACACACACACACATAACAACTAATCCAGGCATGGTGGCACACACCTGTAATCCCAGCACTCTGGGAGGCTGAGGTAAGAGGGTCACAATTTCACCCCAACCCTGAGCAACTTAGTGAAACCATGCCTCAACAAAAAACAAAATCAAGACACGGTCTGGAGATGTAGCGCAGCAGAGGCCCTGGGTTCAATCTCCACTGTGGTGGAGAAGAAAAAATGTATAGTGTTGGATGTGTGACTTGACGGTAACAATCATTTCACGATGTATCTGTACATCAAATTATCACATTGTATATCTTAAATGTATACAGTGTTTATTTGTCAAGTTATATAGGAGTGAAGCAGGGAATTCCTAGTCACTAAGTGTTAGATATTCCAAGTCAATACTTATGGCAACTTTGTTAAATCTCTAGTATACTCTGAAGAGCTCACAGATGTTATGTGATTTCCCTGGCAAAACACAGCTGCAGCAAATCCAAGAGTCCCTTCCGTCAAGAAGCTTGTCCATCCAGGAGGGGACGCAAGAGACCAGGCTTTCAATATTAGCCTGATGCCAGGTGTGGTGGTGCACACCTGTAATCCCAGCACCAGGGAGGCTGAGGCAGGAGGATTGCTGAGAGTTTGGGGCCAGCCTGGGCTACATAGTGAGTTTAAGGACAGCCTGAATTACAGAGTAAGACCCTGTTTCATGAATGAATGAATGCCTGATGCTGGGTGTCTGGGCACTGAACCTCAAAGGCCCAGGCACTGGTGAATTCTGCTGAGGTCTTGATGAAACACCTGCTGCCCTAAACATCACCAATCTTTCCAGCCTGGTTCAAAGACATGAGGACAATTTTTGGATTTTTTATTATTATTTGCTTACATCAACAAAATTTTATTTGAAATTTAGACTTGATCCCTTCACCCCAAGGATTTCTGTGAGAGAGGAGACACATAATTTGGCATTTGTATACTTTCAGAGCACCTGCAAATATCAGTGATTCCAGTATTTGTTTACTGACCCTCACCCCGTTAGTGTATAAGCCCAGCAGGTACAGAGACTGTGTGTGTTTATAGCAAATGCCCAGCACAGAGTAGGTGTTGAAGGCAGCACTTTGGTCAAGTGCAGGTGCTGGGGCCACGTTGCTTGGTTTGAGGCCCCACTTGGTGGCTTAATAGCTTTGACCCCAAGAATGCTTCTTAACCTAATTGTTTTGTTTTGTGATGGTTGTTTTTTGGTAGGAGGGTTTGGGTTGTTTTGTTTGCTTTGGTTTTATGAGACAGGATCTCATTATGTAGTTCAGGCTGGTTTCAAACTTGTGGAGATCCTCCTGCCTCAGCCTCCTATCATACCCAGCTTTAACTTATTTCCCTACTATAAAAGGGGAATGATAATGAAATAATAGAAATAATAAAGGGTACTTGTATATAAATAAAGCATTTGGAATAAAATGCTTGGTACTTAGTATGCACTCAATGTACATTAGTTAACTATTACTGTTGTTGATTGGCTGACAGTTTTGCCCAAATTCCAAACACTTGTGAAAGCAGAAAGGGTTTTACATGAAAGGCTTCTGATTGGAGCCATGGCCTTTTCAGACAGCTCAAAGCAGTGGTTCTTCAGAGAGAGCACACGATAATTTGTTAAGGAGAAGGAAGGTGATATCAGAACTTTTATTTATGAGTTTTAAAATCACACCCTATAACTTTTTAGGTTATTCTTTATGTACACATAATGTACACATTATTTTAGTGTATCACTAAGTGTATATAACTTTTAAAAATTGAAATCTAGCTCACATATGAAGATTCACCCTTTAAAGTGTATCCTCGGGTGGTTTTCAGTGTGTTCCCACAGTAGGCAGCGGCCAGGGCCTCTAGCCCTAGAAAATGTTCATGGCCCATGAGGAAACTCGTTTCCCTCAGCACTCAGGCCCCAACTGATCTCCCCAGCCCTGGCAACCACCCATCCACCTTCTGTAGATCTGCCTCTTCCCACCTCTCACCGAGGTGGCACCCTAAATGTGTGTGACCCCCACTGCACTAGCCACCCGCCTGCAGGGCCTCTGAGGACAGAGTGCCCGGTGTCACAGTGCAGAGAATGGGGCCAATGAGCCTGGGGTCCTCTCGGCCTCTGCAGCTCCCTCTGCTGAGCCGCTGACCCAGGCTAATGAAATCCCAGTTGTGTCTGGCGCAGCCCCAAGCAGAACATGACCTAAATATAAAGCACATGCTTTGCCATGTATGATTTGACTTTGTCTTTATAAAGAGACGCCCTCCTGGTTAGCTGGAGAGGCTTACAGGCTGAACACACTTTGGCTCCTTCCTGCCCCCTGGGCAGCTTCCCAGGTCTGGACCCTCCGAGCACCTTTCAGAGGACCTGTGTCCCCTTCCTGGTGGCACTGATTTCCTGAAAGTGCCCCCAACCTGTACCTCTGCCAACTTCCCTTACCCAGGAGACAGGAGTCGGGGAGGGAAGGTCACCCGAAGCAGAGTGGCTTTTGCCAGGATACTGCATGCCCTCAGGCACACCCTTCCTGCTGGGGGCCGGCAGTGCCCTGTGAGGGGCTCCATCGGTCCTCTCTCTGGAACTCAGAACTGTATTTCTTCCTCCCTCCTGAAGGATCTGAAGCATTTGTGTAAGCCCATCGTTGACTTTCCAAAAAATTCTGGCACAAGTACTGTTACAATAGTTTCAAATTAGCTGCTTTATTTGTTAGGTCATTTGACTAAATTTAGGGATCCTGGTGACTCAGATTTTTGTTTGTTTTGGGGTTTTTTTGTTTTGTTTTGTTTTTGTGGTACCAGGGATCGAACTCAGGACCTTGTGCTTGTGAGGCAGGCCGTGACGCCACTGAGCTAAATCCCCAACCCTTGCTTTGGTTTTTGAGACAGGTCTCGAAATGTAGTTCAGGTGGGCTTTGAACTCACTGTGTAGCCCAGGCTGACCCGAACTCAAAAATATACTCCTGCCTCAGCCTCTTGCCTGCTGGGATTACAGGTGTGCACCAGCATGCCTGGTTTTCAGCATTTTGATAAGAGGAAAATCCACAATTCATTCGAATTTTGCGTAAGTCTGGATTTCTTCTCCTTCCCAGTTTGGCTTCCCTTGCATTGTTTTAGCCTGTTTCAGAGAGGCTTTACCAACCATTCAGTGCACTTAGCCTCACTTGGAGGTGATGCAAAGCATGTAAGTGCTCCTGTTTACTGATGAGGAAACCGGGGCACACAGAAAGCAAGCAACTTCCCAAGGTCATCCAGATGGCAAGTAGCAAGGCTGAGATTCGAAGCCAGGCTGCCCAGCTCCCGAGTAGTGAACCACTGGACTACACAGCCCTTCGGCACCACAGCATCAGTTCAGACCTTGAGGTCAGCAGAGTCAGGCCCGTGGGCGCTCAGAGAGGCACTCCAGAACTTGATGAGGGTGATGAATACCTGCACACCATCTGCCTTTAAAAACATTATACTGAAAATGACAGCCTGGTCTCTGCCAAAAAACAAAAAAAACTTCACTGAAGTGAGTTCCAGTCCATTTTAATTTACTATGCAATCCTGGGAAAGTGTGTGCCCCTCTCTGGGACTCATCAGTAAAATATGTGGGTTTAAATATTAAATACTGGCATAGCCGGGTGAGGTGGCTCACACCTCTGGTTCCAGCACATGGGAGGCGGAGGCAGGAGGATTGCTGTGAGTTCGAGGCCAGCCTGGACTACATAGTGAGCTCGAGGCCAGCCTGAACTACTTAGTGAGACCCTATCTTGATTCATACATACATACATATTTCATACATGGCATACACCCTTTCAGACCCTGAGGCTTGAATATCTGTATTTATCTCATTTCCCACAGGACAGGCAGCTATGGAAGGCAAAGGCCAGGTGGGGTCAGCCTGCTGGGGAGGGTGGGCCTCCCACACCCAGGCCCCCTGACCGTTTGCGGTGGGTTGAACTGAATCACCTCTGTCATCTCTTTCACTTCAGTGCTCTCATTTTTCCAAAAGGACAACATGCTGTCCTTGCAGCCAGATTGTCGGTCTCAGCCCAAAGTGCATAGGGGTGGGCACAGGGGCTCTTTTCTCCTTCGAGAACAATGTTCTGTGTGTGACAGCTCTTCAGGTGGTTAGATGGAGTCCTGAGAACAGAAGGAGACAAAAGATGCACTTGTCATAAAAGCAAGAGCCACCACAGGGGTGGAAGGGGCAGAGCCTGCACCATGTCCTATGGAGATAAGAGCACAGGCCTTGGATCTTATGCCCGTGGGCAGAGGTTGGGGCGCTTGGGTGCCCTTGACATTCAGACAACACTTGAGGGTTAGGAAGCTCTTTGTCCCACGGAACTTCACAGAAGCCTTGGGTGATGGTGATGGGGGGGCAGAAATGGTGTCCCTGATGAGGCAGTCAGTGAGGATGAGGATGGTGACCACAGAGGCCGCCTGTGTGCCTGGGGCCCTCGGGCATCCTGGGCACTATGCTACGGATGCCGGGTGTGTCCATTCCTGGAAACCTCCTAACAACCAGGCAGCGGAAATCACTTTATGGACAGCAAAGCTGAAGTCTAGGATTTGAACTCTGGTTTCTTTTTTTTTTTTTTTTTGGTACTGGGGATCGAACGCGGGTCCTTGGTGAAACCACTGAGCTAAACCCCTGGCCTGAACTCCATTTTCTTTAGCCCTGGAGTCTTAACTCTATGGATGCAATAGCTAAGATAAGAGCCAGCAAGCAGCTGAAAGCTAATGAAACTGACCCCAATCCAGGTAGGTGAATGGAATAGACAAGGGACCCCCGGGTGCTACCAGGCAGCACCGCAGTAGTCCTGCAAAGCCAAAGTCCTAATGCATGGCCCCAGTCATCCCCTCTTGTTCTCTTGCCTTCTTTTGTTCATGAAGGACAAAACCTCCTGTTCTCTCACTCTCTTCTATTGCTCACAGTCAGGGGTGACTCCCCCCGATTCCCCATCCGACCAAACCACCTCATCCCTACACCTTATTTTTTTTAACATACTGGGGGCTGAACCTAGGGCCTCCCACACTAGCAAGTGCTCTGCCACTGAGTCATACCCCAGTCCTCTTTATTTTTACTTTGAGACAGGTTTGTCTAGATTGCTCAGGCTAGCCTTGAACTTGTGATCCTTCTGCCTCAGTCTCCCAAATAGCAAGATATGGGCATGTACCACTGTATCTGGCTTTCCTTCATAAATCCTGTCCTGGGCCAGGGATTTAGCTCAGTGGTTTTGCCACCTGCTGCTCAAGCTCAAGGACCGGAGTTCGATCCCCAGTACCAAAACAAAAAACAAAACACATAAATCCTGTCCTAAGTCTTTACCAATTCTGGAGGATAGAGATAATAATTCAAAAATCACATGACCTACAGTAGCCAACTGCAAGTTGTGGTAGCTGTCATGAAGGAGAAGGCTGGGGAGCCATGATAGCTGATCCCGGAAGGCTTCCTGGAGGAAGTGATTCTGGAACTGGGACACATTGGTCTGGGTCTGGCACCTGATGAGCCTTGATCAAGGAGGAAGATGAGGAAAAAAAAGAGAAATCCATGCCCTCCTACTTACTTGTCTGCCATCTCCAGCTTTCAGAGTTACTGTGAGTGGGTCAGCTTGGTCCCTATCCACCAGAGCAGGGCTCCTACGGAGCATTCCCTGCCCCTGTACCAACAGCAGCAGCTAGGAACTTGTTTGGAAATGCACATTCTTGGGCCTCCCTGCCAGCCTACTGAAGATTCTGGGGACCGAACTAACAGTGTATGTTGCAACAAACTTTCCTGGCAATTTTGCAGCATGTTCAAGTTCTATTGTTGTTTTGTTTTTGCTTTTGGGGGGTGTTTGTGGTACTGAGGATTGAAGCCAGAGTCACTCTACCACTGAGCTATATCCCTGCCCCCCCCTTTTTTTTTTATTTTGAGACAGGATTAAGTTGCCCAGATTGGCCTCAAACTTGCAGTCCTCCTGCCTCAGCCTCCCCAGTAGCTGGGATTAAAGGCACATGCCACCACATCAAGCAAGCATACTAAAATTTGAAAGCCTTGTTCTAGATGCCTACAGTCAAGTGGATTCACACATTAAGAATATGGTTGGCCCTGGTTCTTCCACTCTCTCATGGAAGAGAATTTGTAAATGAGATTCTGAGAAAAGATCTACCAGGGGTCTACAGCAAGGGCAGGGGTGGGGAAGGGGATAAAACACAAGGATTGTAGCAAGTCAGAGGTTAAGTGCCCAGGGTCGAGGCTCCAGGAGGTAAACGCATATTATTTGAGAACTGGGAAGAACCTAGCACAGCACATCCCTCTCCTTCCCTCACTGTGGCAGTCCCTGGGCTGCTATAAAACACTGCCGCAGATGGATACCTTACCCAAACAGAGTGTGTCGCTCCCACTTCTGGAGGCTGGGAGGTCCCAGATCAAGTCACCAGCTCATTCTCATCCAAGCACCTCCTCCCTTGACCTCACTTGGCCGAAGAGGCAAACAAGCTCCCTGAGGTCTCCTTTATAAAAGTCCTAAGGACTCTGCCCTCACAACCTCACCGCCTTCCAGAGGCCCCATCTCTGTAAACCACACTCAGGATCAGTTTCAGTGCATGAATTTGGGACCATAGCACCCACCCACGACAGGATCCAGACAGGTAACACCCCACCCCACCATCATTGGCTGGGTAAGTCTGAGATGAAATCTGCCTCTCTCTGCCTTCCCTTCACTGGCCTTACTTCTCTGGATTCTTGCCGGCAAACCCCCTGTCTTTCCTTGTGACTACAAAAGGATGAGGACAATCACACTTTTCAGTGGTTCAGTAGAGGCACAATCATCAGCCAACCAAAGTGTCAGAGAAGATCCTGGACTCTTGTTAAAGCAAAATGAAAGTGATAGGTGCTTCTGGCCATCTTGCTGGACAGTGGAGGTAAAGTTGGCTTTGTGGACCAGTCCTCATTCTGGGGAATGCAAAAAGTCACAAAGACCTGACTCCTAAATCGGACCCAACTCTCCCTTGTCCTCCAGGTCACTGGTACCTCTCCCACGTAGCTTGGCTTAACCTCAGCATTCATGAGTTGGATTGTTAGAAAGAAGCTTGAGGATAGTGCACTTAAACTATCATTTCTTTTCATTGTCATTAACTATTGCTCAACCCAAGATCTAATTAGTTTCTGGAGAAACATGCTTCTTGTGTCATTTTGAGTTTCCTCGTCAATCCAACCATTTGTGTGTTCAGTTAACCCTTCTGCTCTCCTGCAATACCTGTCCGAGCCCAGCCCACCCTCCTCAGGCTCCCTGCGATGGATCGCTACCTGAATTCTTCTGTAAAGCAAGAAAGTAAAGTTGTCCCTGGACAAGTTCCACTCCAACAACTATGCTGACAAAAGACCCAACCCTGAGAAAGCAAGATGCAGCGGAGAACAAAATAGGAACATAAATTCTCTTTCAGGCTGGCACTTGCACGCTGTTGAAACATCCCTTGTGATACAAGGAAGGGAGGAGATGATTAGCTCACATCAGAGAGAGCCTGGCTGAAGTCTGGGGACATAGCCCTGCTCTCAGCCTGGGCATCTCACACCCCCAGCAACCCCCAAAGCCTGTGACTGCTTCTGGGGACTCCACCATCCGGAAATGACACCAGCCCTTAAGTGATGATATGGCATCAATCAAAACAAAACATAAAAAAAAACTTACTATGAAATGGGTCTCTGACACTCCTGGCATAAAGATGGTCTTTGGAGAGTCACAGTAAAAACTCACTCCTCCAGGGCTGTGATCTCAGCTTTCCGACATCCTTGATAATCCCGGACAGAAACATGGCCACAGGCTCCCAAGGTGGACACTCGCCAAGCACCGGAGAGTGAGCTCATCTGCCCACCACCTCATAACAACCCGAGCCAAATCTCTGTTTCATTTTTATCAAAAAGAAAAAAAAAAACAAAAATAAGTAGACTCCGTCCCACCACCACAGTCCATTGAAGTCAACCCTCTTCACACAGGAAGCAAAAGACTTCCTAACCTCAAGCCAAAAAATGCCAGCTATGCGCTTCCTACAGGCTCCAGGCCGGAGGCCGAGGGCGCTGGGGCTGTCACACGAAGTCCCAGCTGACCTGTAATTCAATTCTCTTTTGTGCAGAGCCCCAGACACTGTCCAACAGTTCAGATCCAAGCTTCCATCCCAGAGCCATTCATCCTCATCTGCATTCCCGGACCTCAGAAGCAGACTCACAAAGTGAGGCAGACTGGAATCTGGGCCAGACACTGACCACGAAGCTCTACCCTCCTAGAGCAATGGGTGGGTTTCTGTTGTGATCCAGTAAGCTCTGCATTCTTCGTGCCAGGCTCTGGAGGAAAAGGGCACGGAGCCTGGTGGCAGGGCAGAGCTACAAAGCCTTCCAAATCTTCATGGACCAAACACAGATTAAACACACATATGCCCAAGCAAAGCAGGCCAGGCAGCCGCAGTACAAGCAGTAATGCTTTATAGCAAGCAATTCAGGTGTTGAAGCTGTGGTGGCTCCAAGGAGGTGAATCTGCAGGGAGTGTTTTTTTTTTTTTGGGTACTGGGGATCGAACTCAGGACCTTGCACTTTTGAGGCAGGTGGTGGAACCACTGAGCTAAATCCCCAGCCTGAATCTGGCCTGGGACACTGGCTGACCTGTCCATTTTCCCTGAACTGTCAGTCTCGTGGCCTCTGCCTGCTCATCCTTAGATCTCCCATCAGAATTTTGTACCCAGCCCTGTTCCTTTTCCCTCCACCATTCACTATAAAATAAATTGTTTTTATCGTACTGGGGTACCTTGTAAATAATATATATTGTTTTGGTACCGGGGATCAAACTCAGGACTTGCACGGCAGGCGGTGGAACCACTGAGCTAAATCCCCAGCCAATAATATTTTATTTCTGCATATACAGAGCTATAAAAGTGAAAAGATGACATGAAGTATAATGGTAACCCACAATCTTTTTTCTTTTTCTTTCTTTTTTTTTTTTTGCAGTACCGGGGATCAAACTCAGTACCTTGCACTTGCAAGGCAGGCACAGTGCCACTGAGCTAAATCCCCAGCCCCCTGCCCACAGTCTTAGTAAGATAAAAAGCCTAATGATAAAGTTTACAATTAGGCAAAAAAAAAAAGTGATGTGTAGAGTAAAATCTCATTTTTATTATTACACTGACAATGAAAACAGTATGTCCCTGGGTACTGATTGCATCATATACAATGACTGTCTTTGTAGCTGAAAGTGTAAAGAGGAACGATTTACGTTCTGCTTCTGGGCTGGGGGTATAGCTCCGTGGTCAGGTGCTTGCTTAGCAAGTGCGAGGTCCGGGCTTTAATCCTCAGCACCACAGATAAATAAGTAAACGCTGCTTCTGCTTCTCCTGCGCTAGTGACAGGAAGGCCTCAGACACCAGCGCAGGTGGCAGTGGAGGAAGATCAGGACTGAGCTCTGCTGGGGGAAGAGCGAAGAAAGCAGGGGATGCTTGCCGGCTCAGGCTCTCCCTCCCCAACCCCGGGCCGCTGGGTCACAGCCCCCACGCTGCTCCCAGTGCTGCTTCCAGTAAAGCAGCCAGTAAAGGCCAGTCCCTCAAACCCTGCCCAAGAGGGGCTTGGGGCCAAGAGGAAAGTTACTTCTCTAGGGCACCCAGGACTTTCCACCCCAGAGTCTGCCTCTCCTTGAACTCTTCAGAAAGGATGAAGACCAGGACGGCCCTGACCCAGGGTACATTCCAAGACGGAGCAGTGGGTAACCCTTTCACGCCGAGATGTTCACAGGGCAAACTCACCAGACAGCCGAGGAAGAAAACTACCTGAAAAGAATGTCAACAAACTGGACACCGTATACTAAGAGAAGCAGAAAAATTAGGTCAGGCAGACCAAGAATGCAAAATAGAGAGGTTATATATTTATGAAAGAAAAAAGAAAATAAGTATGTGAAACAAGGTGAAGTAAGAAAAAGTAGAAATATTACATATGTAATACACCATAAAGATAGTTGAAAAATAATAGAAACTTAGGGAAAGGTTTTAGTGGGTTTTTTAAAGATAGAATTTTTTAAAAGCCATAAAAAAATGTAATAAATCAGACTTCATCAAAATTATAAACTTTTTTTTCACTACTGGAGATTGAACCCAGGGCCTTTGCCGTGAGCTACATGCCCAGCCCCTTCTTAATTTTTTTTTTTTTTTTTTTAAATTTTGAGACAGGGTCTTGCTGGCTTGGTAAGTTTCCCAGGCTGGGCTCCCAGTTGCAATTCTCTTGCCTGAGGCTCTCAGAGTGCTAAGGTTACAGGCTTGTGTTCAGCTCTTGAAGACCTTCCGAAGACCTCCAACTCTTATGTGCTGAAGCTGCTATTACTTCTCTAATTTCATCTTCTGTTCTCCCCTCTTTCTCTCTTCTGGCTGCACTGGGCTCTTTGCTATTCCTAAAACATCACTCATGCTCCCAGCCCAGCCTCTGCCTAGGAGGCTCTGCCTCACACATCCACGTAGCTCCCTCCCTCGGGTCCTTCAGGTCTCCACTCGACGTCTCCTGTCAAATGGGGCCTCGCTGGTCACCCCATCCAACACCCAAACCACCCTTCCCAACACCGCCAGGGTAACAGAAGTCCAGAAGAGAGGAAATAAAGAGATTGAAAATATTTGAATAAAAAACAGATACATCCTCTACAATTAGCAAAAATGGAGTTCCTAGATTGAAAAGTCAAAGGGCACTAACAAGAGTTAAAGGAAAATCCATTCTAGATAATAGAATATCATAAAACAAAAGGAAAATTCTAACTGTTTCTATAGACACAGAGCCACAGAAGTGTTAGCAGCACCTGTAACTTTGTCTCCAGCACAAACCACAGGCATTTCATTGTGGTTGTTGCAAATATCTCAAGATACTATTTTCTTTTCTTTTTTTTTTTTGGTATCAAGGATCGAACTCGGGACCTTACACTTGCGAGGCAGGTGGCAGAACCACTGAGTTACATTCCCGGCTCATCAAGACACTTTTCATTCATCAGGACTTCCACATTACCAGTGTTAATGAGTTCTGCTGGGTCTTATTATATAATAATGCATTAATAAATAAACATATTGGGCTGAGGGTGTAGCTAAGTGGTGCAACCCTTGCCTAGCATGTGTGAGGTGCTTGGGTTTGATCCCTAGCACTGCAAAAAAAAAAAAATCGTATGTATTACTATGTCACTACTTTCTTAATAACTATCATTCAATGCCATTGGTTTGCTTTGCAATTCTAAAAACATTATTCTAAGCCAGGCATAGTGGTACACACATGTAATCCCAGCTACTCAGGAGGCTGAGGCAGGAGAATCACAAGTTTGGGGCAAGTCTGGGCAACTCTGTGAGATCCTGTCTCAAAATAAAAAGGGCTGAGGCCTGTAGCTCAGTGGTAGAGTGTTTGCCTGGCATGCAAGGCTATAGGTTTAATCCTTGGTATCACAAAACAAAAACATTATTCTGAAAAAAAAACATTAAGTTTCACACATTTGCCAGAGGGGTCACATGTACACACACACACAAACACACACACACACACACACACACACACACATGTTAAGAGTTCCTGACCTAAAGAATATAGACTGTGGTCAGGAACAGTCTTCACCTTGCTCCTGTATACCACACTATATTACAGATACTTATGTTTTTCCTTCCTCTGCAGCCCAGCATGGTGTCCTGTTTCTTTGGGTCCACAGTGCCTGGAAGAGGGCTTGGCAAGCATGGAACCATTGTTTATAGAAGATCTACTGTGTGTAAGGCCTGGGTCCCATAGGTTGAGGCAGAAGAACGGAGAGATTCAAAGGAAAGCTATTTGATTCCCTGTGCTTGGTTTATGCATTCACTCACTCAGATTCATTTATTTAAAGAACCACCCCATGGCTACTTAAGGACAATAGGGAGAATGAGACTCAAATCTATTCTGATGGAGCTCCTGCTCTTACTAATGGGAAAAAGACAAAACAAGAGTTCTAAAGAAAGACAAAAGGAATGAGATCAGATTCTGGAAAAAACCTAATCCTTAAATCTAAATTCATCAGCAATTTCTGTACCAAACTTTCCTTTTTTTTTTTTTTTTTGGTAACAGGGATGGAACTCAGGACCTTTCGCTTGCAAGGCAGGTGGCAGAACCACTGAGCTAAATCCCCAGCCCTTCTGTACCAAACTTTACTAGGATAAAGTAACTACAGGGTTATATGATGTAGAAAGAGATGCTCTTTTTAAGAGGAAAGTCTGCAGGGTTCACTTGCTGGTCTTACCTGGTAAACTTGGAGGTGAAGCAGGCCCTCCATTACCAGGGGTATTTCCAGAGTTGGCTCATCTGCCCCCCTGGAGTCCCAGTTCTGGTCCAAGGAGTCTATGATGCCATCCATTAGTCAGAATGTGCAAGGACATGTTGCCTAGATACCTCAGGCTCTTCCTTCCTTTAAGAGACCAGGAATAGGAGAGAATAGGCTAGGTGACTTTCTCCACCCTTCTCTATAGCTGAGACCAGGCCACTGGGGCCTGCAAGCTTCCTCTGTCCAGGAAGGCAGGTGAAGAGGGGCAGAAGGACAGGAGCTGAGGGTGCCGAACAAGGAGCAAGAGAACCAGGGCTGGTACTGGGGACAGCCAGGCCTCCCGTTGAGTAAGACAAAATTTGATAAGGTAGATCACTTCTCCAAAGAGGCATGGTCATCAAAACATAAATTTAATAAATATATACAACATTTCTCCACAGAGGTACAACCTGAAAATTTTAAAAAGTTGCCATCAGGATATGTAGCACATGCAAGGCTCTAGGTTTAATTCCAGCAATAAATAAATAAACGAAAAACAAAGTAAATGCTGGTAAATCTAGGACCCACTCACAGTAGTATCATCATACATGCTTATCAAATATACAAAAAGTATTTCCTGAGGATCCTTCAGCTCCCTTAACTGTCCCAGCCTCAGCTGGCCCGGCTCACACAGCTCTGGGCTTGGTCTCCTCTGTCCCATCCCATCTGAATGTCCTGCTTCTGCAAGCAGTGACACACAGCACAGGAACCTCGTGAAGAGGTGGCCAACAACTCTCTGTGGAGTTGAGGCAGTGTAAAATTAAGTAACTGAGTACATAAAATCAGCCTGGGGTAGCTGCAATATTATTCTTCTCATTCTGTTTCCTAGGACAATGGTCTCCCAATTTTTCCATGGAAACTTTCTCCAAAAGCTTTATTTTTCCATCATGCCTCTCTCCGGCAAGTATTTAATAAGACTAGGACAGTGCTGGGTTCACTTAGGCAAAAAAAAAAAAAAAAAGAAATGAAAAGAAAAAAGAAATGTGCCTGACAAAGAATTTACAAACTACAAGGCCAGATAAGAAACTCACACAGATGACTAAATACAGGTAGAAAGTGAAAGGTAGCTCAGAGAAGGGGGATCAACAGAGAAAGAGGAGAGTCAGGGATTGGCCAATTCCAATAGCTCTGGAGGGGAGAATGGAGGCCCCTGGGGTGTGTGGGAGGGAGCTGGTTCAGGGAGAAAGAGGACTGAACACACTTCCAGCTGTTCAAAATGAGATGTAGGATCAGAAGTAGTCATTCAAACAAAAATTTGGATAAACTGGTAAGGATATTGTCAAAGATACTCCATATATTTCCCCCATTGGTAAGAGGTTTGGACTAAGATCTTTCAGGGCTTCTGGCTCAGTGGGTCCCTTTTTCACCCTTGAGGCTCCCAGAAGAAAGAGTAATACCTCACGTCAAGTTTCTTGGGAAATCAAATATATTTATTCATTTACTAGGTTTCGTAGTCCTAACTGTCCTTGAAACAAATATTGACAGCAACAACACAAACCCTATTACATGCAAGATAAAAAAAACAGATGCATTGAGTGTGCCCTGCCCCATGACACAGGTACTAAGGAGCAAAATCCTACAGGGTGCTTGTGCGCCTCCCCGGAAGTATGAAAGATTCCTACAGGACTTCCTGGCATTCAGCCCTCTACATCCTGGGGCTGAACACTCCAAAGGCTTTATTCTTGCCTCATACTTGAAGCCAACTTGACAAGTTAAGAATGAGTTAGATTAGGTCCCCAGTGCATTACATGAACCTCTCTCTCTCTCAAATGTTCATCTGCAAGGAAAGGGCCCAACCTGCCACTCAAGCGTCCCAAGGAGGAGCGCTATTTATGTAAGAGTTTATTTGCATTTCCAAGTCTGGCAGCCACAGGACCCAAAGACGCAGAGAACTGGCCCCTCTGGCCTCAGCTGTAAATTCTGTTAAAAGGGGATCTCTCAGGCCAGATACTCTGATTTCACAAAGTTGGCCTAGCCTTGGCCCAAATATATCAAATGGAAATGTCTTTTAAAGTCAGTGCAAAACCAGTAGCAAGATGGCAGATGACCAGAGGTTCTCTTTCAGCTATGGAGCAGAAGTCAGCCAGGAGGCTGCCTATTTGTCCCCGGCCCACTCATCTGCCCGAGGGGCCAGGCGGGATCCAAGGTGCGACAGCCCGGGACTCCTAGTTCTCCCTCCGTGGCTGCTGCAGCCTTTTGGCCACTGCAGTGATCAGAGCTGCTCCCTTTCCGCTGCCGTCTTCTGACAGCAAGAACATCACATCACACTGAGGGGCCAATTCTTTCACCGTTTCCTGCAATACCAGAGAAAAGCTATGAAAGAGAGAGAGAGAGAGAGACATCATCAGCCCTTGTATATAGGATCAGAATACTGATAAATTATTTTCATCCAGTTTCTTCCTTTGAGCCTGCTTCTCAAGGCCTCAAATCACTTTTTAAACAGCTGTTGTAATTTTACCTCACAACTACTAATATCACGGACTGTTCCAGGTGCTTTATGTATGGAACGTCATAGTATGCTAAGTCATGCTTTGAAAATAATTACCACTGTCTCAAATACATCAAAACCTCAGAAACTTGTCCAGATTTGTACAAGCAGCATGTTTGTCAGGATTGGAGCCAGGCTTACCTTTTTCTAAAACTCTCTTTTTGTTTCTTCAAAATTTTCCTCAACTTTTTAGCTTAAAAAGTTTCAAATTGCATTCGCCCGTCCCCCTCCATTAATTTTCCCATAAACAAACCATCTTTTTTTCCCCCTTAGTACTCATTTGTTGAGTGTTTTTATCACAGAAAGATGTTGGATTTTATTAAGTTCTTTGTCTGCATCTATTAAAACAATCATGTAGCTTCCATCCCTTCGACAAGTCTTGGCTAAAGGGAGAGACTTGTAAGAACCAGACCAAAAATGTGTAACCCCAGAGAGAAACCAAGAGAAGAACTGTCAGTCTCCGAGGAGGCTAAGGATCACAATAGTAATAATGCCTTCATGAATACGGTTCAGCATGATTAAAATGGCATAAGCTTATTATTACATTTCCTTTCCACCAAAATAAAATGTGAAACAATGAATTAAAATAATAGTTTTCATTATTGAAGCTATTTAACTCAATCCTCACAACCACCTATGGGGTAGGTGGGATTGTTGTCCCCATTCTTCAGAGACAGGCTGGCTCATATTTCCACCCGGTGCTACCAAGAAGAAGGGGTACTGAGGCTCTCCTTTGCCTCAGCCTCAACAGGTAAGTTCACCACCATGTAGCACTCCCTTCCCAGAAAAAGATGGGATGCATCTGCCCACGCTGCAGCTGAGGAGGCTGTGCCAGTCCAAGCTGGCTGCCAGCACAACTCCTGCCCTGCCCAGTGCCTCTGGGCACTCACTGAGGGTGCAGCTTGTACAGGGTGCCGTCCACACCCACGGTAATCTTCAGGTGCTCCAGCCTCTGGTCTTGTCTCCTTTTTTCCACAATGGCGGCCAGGCCTGCACCACAGAGCTGGGCAGCCCGCCGGGACACAGCTCCACACACCTCCTTCACCACGATGCTGTCCTCACACGTGCTGTCCAGACCCAGCTGCTGCAGGATCCTCCTGACTTGGAGGAGGGCCAGCCGGTCACTGCAGGTGAGCAGTGCAAGATGTTAGCCCCTGGTTCCTGGGATCCCAGAACCCGCTCAGGGTGACCCAGAGCCTCTCCATCCCAACAGGCCCTGGCGGGAGGGAGGAGAAAGTGACCTAGGCAACAACTAAATTGGAGCAGAATGCCTGGGAAGGGAAGACTTAAGGCCCACCCCAGGAAGTTCCACCATCTTTAAAACCAAGTGCCAGCACCTCTTCTGTTAGCTGTGCTCAGATCCAGCTCCTCACTAGGAGCTAGCAGCATGGTCAGGAACTCACATGCCAGGTGCCTTCTCTTCAGAAGAGGAGTATGAGGTTCAGAGTGCTAGGAAGACTTGCCTGGTCAGGCAGTAGAGAACTTGGCTTCAAACACACGCCTTGTCACACCAGTTCTAGCATTGTCCTGTGGATCTGCCAGCTTCCGGTAGGTAATCTGCCCCCATGTGCTGGAGACTAGTTTTCCTTCTATTTAACTATTTCTGATTCTCTGCTTTTTCTTCCCAGCTAGACTTTCTGCTCTTTAATGATAACAATATATTCTCAGCAGTAGCCAGCATAGGGCTGGGTATATTAAATGAGCAAGTAAATAAATGAGTATGTAGGACATATCAGGACCTTGAAGAAAAGGAAGCTAAAAGGACCAGAAACATGCAGAGAAGCTCCTGTCATGGGCACAGGCCAGCTTTGAGCCTAGGCCCTGACTCTCAGCCAGTGAACCAGTGGTGACTGATTACACTGACACAGAGCTCTGAGTCTCGGGCTCAAGGGTGTGAAGTTAACCCATGACTGACTCAAATACAGAGGAAAGATGGGGGTTAGCAAGAAAGACAATGGAGAAAGCCCTGTATGGCAAGACAGGAAGCAGAGCAGGTGAGTGGTGGGAGAGCCAAGACCATAGCATTCTCTACAGACCTTCGAGAGTGTCTTCATGAGAGTGCTGTACTTAGTGCCATGAGAAATATTCCCAGCACATAATGAAAAAGTAGATCATAAAATGTGCTGTTTAAACCTTGGTTTTGGGTTGATTTTAGTGTTTGTTCTCACACAGGAAAAAAGAACAGAAGAAAAGCTATTCGGATATTGGTAGGATTACAGATAATTCTCATTTTATTCCTTTTGCTTATCTTTCTAAAATGAATGAGTAACATTTGTGTAGGAAAAAGAAATTTTTTTTTTTTGGTACCAGGGATCGAACTCGGGAACTTGCACTCACGAGGCAGGTGGCAGAACCACTGAGCTAAATCCCCGGCCCGGAAAAAAATATTTTTAAGAGGGAACACAGAGAAACCCTTCAATCTACTCTCCCGAGGGCCTCTCCCTTCACAGTTTATGGAGTTCTTTCATGTACATTCTCTTTCTCAATCCCCAGAGAAATCCTGGGGGTTAAACACAGAGAAATTATTTCTTTTACAAAGAAATACACTAAGGTTCAGAGAGAT